TTGTTTTATTCAGATTGTAATTAAATGAGTGCGGTGGTAAATTTGTTGCTTGAATGTTGAGCTCTGTCTTCCACTACATAAGGCCAAAAAAAAAAAATGTGTTGCCCTCCGCGACTGACTAAAATTTTTCAAAAAATCGGGTCTGTTCTTTTTTTTTTTTTTTTTTATTTTGTTCAAAGGTCTTCCTTTCACTCAAGTACAAATGCGAGAAATACTACTTCCAAAATTAACATTTAGAACATAAAATCTAAAACAGACATGTATTTTTACCAAAATCGGGCCATAGATGCATGCGTAAAATCGGTAAAATAGAAGGCATAACTTTGAGAACCGAGTGCGGCGACAACGATGTATGCGCACAACATCAGATCTAGAAAGGCATAAGCATTGCCTATTCTTTACTACTGTACAACTAGTGGTTGCTTGAATCAAAAGTCTTATTCATTACCTTACGGTATATTGGGCAATAAATAAAAACAGGCTTAGGTCTAGCCATCGTTTTAAAGCCGGTATGTAGCTAGACATTGCTCTGTTACGGGTATAGTCCAACCATGATTTAAATATTTTCTTTTTTTTCTTGAAGTTAACTTCGATTGTATTACATTGAGGCCGCTTGTTTGGCCATTTGTTATAGCCATAGAATGGTTTTGCTTCATCTGTCCATGCGTGATCGTGTGGATCAGATGCACAAAGTATTTTTTTGAATAAATATTTCTTTAAACAGATTTATTTTTGTTAAATTTATTTCAGTATACTGCTTAGTATTTATTCCGTCATTAATTTGAATATTGTTGGTTTGGCAAACTTGTTATTGTTCTATTGTGGTGCCTATGAAGCCTTAGGCCTAGGTCAAGATCTTCATAATAATAGGGATTGCAGTGTAAGGCTAACCCACGATCTCGATTTTTTCCACTTAAGGGGAAACTCAACAATATTTTTTTTTTTTTTTGGCCTAACATAGATTCAGGCGGATTGACACTATAGGGCTCTCTTATACAGGCTGTCTAAAGGCCAAAAAATTTTATATTTTGGCCCTTACCATGAGGAAACTTCACCATTTACCAAATTTTACAATTTTGAACCAGGTTTTGCCGATCTCTTCTTATCTCTATTAATTACTGCTTCAGGGAATTTTGTAAAAAGATTAACAGTGAGGCTCATTAGTTGTGAATAGTTCATAAGAAGACTAGCACAATTAAATCAAAAACTTCTAACGTAAGTCATTAATTTTTAAAATTCAAAAGCATATCTATTATGATTTTTATGTGAAATTATAGCTAAGGTAATAAAAATGCCAAATTATTTTGAACAACAGGTTTTTAAAATTTTCCAGCCTGGTTTTTAAATACTATACTGGTAATTTATTGAGAAACAGCAATTCCTGCTGTGATAATGACTCTTAAGTAGAGGTATTCTTCTTTGATGTTTAATTGGATTATTGAGATAAGATTCTGGCAAAAGATGGTTCACCAACCTGCCTGAATGCCCTTTTAAAGGGTTTGCTGGTAAATGGAATAGTAACAGTATGCTGTCCCATTTTTCAACCAATATTCTTAATAGGTAGGTCAATAGGTGTCAAAATGATATTTGGGATTTGAAATATCACCCATTTATAGCCCACCACTATTGGTAGTACAGTATCTCACAATATTCTTCAAACCTGCTGTGTTTAACTATTTATTACATTACACTGGGGTAAAAGACCTTAGCGTTTGCTACCATTTCATAGGGAACATTTCCGAAATCACAAAATACAGTGTTGTTACATTTTAATTTTTGTTCCACAAGGTCATGTTTAAGGTCAAAATAAAGATCAAATGGATATTTTAATTTAAATCAATTGTACTGCAAATTCCAATTACAGGTTTGGAATCCTAGTCCAGTCTCCTGAAAATCAGACCATTTAAATTCATTTGCATTTGAGAATAAGCGGTTGCGCGCAACTTTACAATTTTAAGCCATTTTTAGCTATTTTTGGTCTTAATATTAAAGCTACCCCCTATGGAAACAAGCTCATAGAGCGTATAGAGTTATCTTGCTCTCATTTTTGTGTGTTTTTATGTACTTTTTTTTTGTTTTGATATTATAATATTATGAGGGCAATAAATAATAAACAAACAAATACACAATCTCAAAGTCAACCCTCTCCTTATTTCCTGGATCAAGAGCTTTTTATGCGATAGGGAACAGCATTTTTTGGTATCCGGTGTTCTCTCTAATAAAATTGTTACTAACATTGGATCACCACAGGAATGCATTTTATCACCACTGCTCTATGTCCTGTATACTAACGATAGTACCGCAAACCATCACTCTTACTATACAAATGTTAAAGAAGGTTGCAAATGAAAATAAAGAAATTGTCCTTTTGGGAGATTTCAATATCAATTATGACCTAAATATAGACCTGAATTCAAATCCTATAAATCAAATAGAGAATATGTTTGCACTCAGACAACTAATAAATGAACCAACACGTATTACAAAAACCACTGCAACATGTATTGATCTGATTCTTACCTCAATTCCTGATTGCCATATTTACACGGAAGTTGCAAAAATTTCACTCATTGTTCCTGAGGATTGGAAACTCGCAAAAACAACACCTATCTATAAAGGTAGTGGATGTAAGCAGACGATGACTAACTATAGACCCATCTCCGTGGTTTGCCATATTTCAAAAATTGTTGAAAGAGAAATTCAAAATCAATTAGTTAGTTATCGAAACGAAAATGATCTCATAAGTGTAGATCAATATGCCTTCAGAAAATACTACTCCACCATCACTTGCCTTCATCGAGTTATAGATGAATGGATGGAAACTTTGAATGACCATGAAATGATTGGAGCCTGTTTTCTCGACATATCTAAATGCTTTGACTCCATTGATCATACTCTTCTAACTAAATTAGAAAATTATGGCATTAAAGACACTTAAATCAAATGGTTTAAAAGTTATCTTTCACAATGCAAACAAGTAGTCAAATGTCATAATAAATTATCTATAAAAGCAAATGTTGAAATTGGCATCCCACAGGGTAGTGTGTTAGGACCGATCTTATTTTCATTATTTATTAATGACCTTCCACAATATGTATCTCCAGGATCATGTAGCATATATGCGGATGATGTTGTCATCTACACTACTGACAAATCGGTAGAAAATATCAATATCAAATTACAATCAATAATGAATAATGTCGCAAATTGGTATAAATTTAATAAATTACTTGTAAATTCTACCAAAACCAAACTTATGTTAATTAAAAATAGAAATGTTCGCCCTCTTTCCTCTTTGAATATTCATGTTGGTAATGAAACCATTGATGAGGTAAAAAACATCCGTTATTTAGGACTTCCAATTGATGAAAACCTTACCTGGAATGACCATATTCGAAAATTAAATAAACTATTGGGTACAAAATTAACATCCTAAATAAATTGGCAGAAGCACTAAATGAATCTCTTCTAAATATTCTTTATAGAAGTACAATACAACCCTGTATGGACTATGCAATCTCAGTGTGGGGAATAGACTTGCCACAAGTCTCTTATTTTTTTAAATATATTATTTTTCTCATTCTGGACAGCGCCACCAACGAGAAAGTTAATTTAGAGATGGACGGAATAAGCGACTTGTAAAACACTGAAGTCAGGCACCAGGATGCCAAAAGAATGACGTAATCTNTTATATTCCGTATTTGGATAAATGGGCGGACCGAAATAAACAATTTCAACCAATCAAATGTTCATATTTTTAGAGCCACGAAACTGAGTCACTCGCCGCTCGCGTCGACTAGTTAGGCATGACTAAATTTTAAATAGTCCTCCCTAATAAAACGGGCCTAAAATATTTAGAATAGACCCTAGTAAGACTAATTTTGGCAATGGCAAAAACAATTAAGCCTAGACGGCATACCATACAAATACAACAAAACTTTAACTTTCCAGTAGGATGGCTCAGGCCTCGCCTGGA